TAGGGTTTGGGTTGAGGGTTTTGGGATGTTTTGGGTTTAGGGTTGGCAATTCGGGCCCAGGATTTATGCTGGTAATGTCTCATGGCACAAACAGAACAGCGAGCCTAGATTTCGAGATGCCGCATATCGTTAGAGATACCTCAGCCGTTATTCTTGAAGTTGCACTTTCTTCTCCAGTTGGCGTTGCCAACACAATTTCGAAGACTCACTTCCAGCCCCAGTTCGAGCCTTCAGAAGAAGATATTCTTCGTTGGAAGCATGACTTTCATCGAGGACAAAGATCCCTAAGCAACCCTAAACCATCCCCTTAGGGTCAATGTACCTAAATATTATCTACTTTGGCCGCAAAGTACCTAGATAGGGACTACCTTTAAGGTCAAAGTATATACTTGTATGAGTACGGTTTAGGGTATAGGGTCGAGGGCCCTAAACCCTAAACCCTGGTCAATAACTTATTTTTATGAGTACACGGACCCTTAGGGATCCTAAACCTGACAAAGCAAAGTTGGAAGAAGCGGAAGGTGGTCCGCTCTAATGACAGGACTCACCATCGTAGGCCCCCCCAAGAAGCCGAGATTCCTTGGAATTTGGAGTACCATACTTTATTGTTTCTTCGTTGCGCCGATACCTTAAAGGAATCAGGACGAAATACAAGCTGGTACTTGTTTCTCCGTGGTTACGTCAAAGCGCCAACACCATCTTAAATCCGCAACCCTAAACACTAAACCCAAAGCCCTAAACCCCAAATCTGCAATCCTAAACCGTAAACCCTGAGCCCTATACATACTCCAAGGCTCCTGATACGTCCGGGTTTCTGGGATCTCTTAGACCCCCAAGAGACCCAGGGGCTCTCTTGGAAACGTTCCGAATTGTCCGAAGAAGATACCTAACCCTAAGGGTCCATGTGCTCAAATAGTATATACATTGGCCTTAAAGTAGTCTAGTCCATACATACGTACATTGGGGCCAAAGTATATAATATTTGGGTACATGGACCCTTAGGGTAACACATTTCCAAGGCGTTCATGACAGAACCCGTATATTCGGGTCTAAATAGTCACCAATACTATTTTTTGGCGGGGTTGCTGACTATGTTTATATTATAATGGACCACAAAGCCCTATTGAAATTATTAAGGCCCCTAAACCCTAAACCCTTATTTTAGCCCGTATAGAAGGAGCCCTTTAAAGGCACCCCCAAAACCCTATTCTAATAGTATAGTGGACCCCAAAACCCTGTTCGACGTATTAAGGCCCGTATGCTAAACTAAAGCCCTCGACCCTCGAAGGTTTTTTTGTGACGCTCAGGATGGGGTTTAGGGTTTAGGGTTTAGGGTTTAGGGTTTTAGGGTTTAGGGTTTTAGGGTTTAGGGTTTTAGGGTTAAGAGTTCAGGATTTAGGGTTTAGGGTACAATGTTCTCATGGATCCTGAAGCTGGCTATGCCGCGCAGCACTCGGAAAGCCTACCCTATGAATCCAACAACCGGCTTTCGATTTTCACAAGCCCTTGAACCTAAACCCTAAACCCTAAACCCTAAACCCTAAACCCTAAACCCTAAACCCTACCCGTAACCGCACTAAAACCTCTTGAGCCCAGAAAGTTCCGAACTGCCACAGTTCCAGACACCACTCCGGCCCTGTGCAAAGCACATGCTGCCAACCCTCTTACGGTGGGACTCCAGGTGCCGATAAAAAGCGGTTTAGGGTTTAGGGTTTAAGAATAGTGCAATTGTCTTAGTTCCCCAAAACTCAACCTTTAAACTTGTTGGGTTCTTATAATTCGCAATCTGAAAATTAAACCTTTTCTTATCTGGCTTATTGGGGAGCTAAGTAGTGTAATAAGAGGGAGGGTTGAATCATTAGTAACTCGCTGATTCGCTATGACTCCCTGACATGGCCAGGGCAACCCTAAACCCTAAACCCTAAACCCTAAACCCCCAAACCCTAAACCCTAAACCCTGAACCCTGAACCCTGAACCCTAAACCCTAAACCGTATGGTATAATACTGTCGATGATGTAAATCCTGCAGTACCCCTAATAAGGAAGACCCATAATTCCCATAGTTTAGGGTTCTTAAGGTAATGCAGGATTGATGTCATGAACAGTACGAAACCCCGGAGCCTTGTTCTCCTAGGGACTAAGCTGGAGCCTTTAGATATGAGGGTTTAGGGTTTAGCCCCTGGGCCCTAAACCCCTGAACCCTAAGCCCTAAACTGTAACATAGAGGCTTTAATAATTACCTATACTATTTTGGGGGGTTCCTTATTACACGATAGTATAATATACCCCAAAAGGCTATTCTAATTATCCAGGCCCTTAAACCCTAAACCCTTATAGTAGCCCTTATAGAACCCTTTAAGGAGCCCTTTAAAGGCACCCCCCCAAAACCCCACCCCGATACTAGCCTTAAGCCCAAAACGTTAAAACCATGTCCTTTATCGGACAAGGGGTCCCCGAAGACGAAGATGAAGGATCGTGCGAGTCCCTTTTGGGATCGTCTTTAGAGTTTGGATGTTTAGGGCTTAGGGGGTTTGGGGTTTAGGGTTTAGGGGTTTCGGGTTTATAGGGGTTTAGGGTGTAGGGGTTTAGGGTTTAGGGGTTTAGGGGTTTAAGGTTTATGGTTTAGGGGTTTCGTGGCTTCATAATCTAAAGCTAAGTAGGGCTGCAGAGTTTCGAGCTATGATCGTCCTGTCTGTTGCGGTGTTTTTGCATTTCGATGGGACCGAAAACCAGCAGTTCGTTCAATACTTGGAAGACTTACCATAGGGCTATGTGTGCAGTCATGACTGGCTGGTCCCTTAACCCTAAACCCTAAACCCTAAACCCTAAACCCTAAACCCTAAACCCTAAACCCTAAACCCTAAACCCTAAACCCCTAAACCCCTAAACCCCTAAACCCCTAGAGCCTGAGGGATGTCACGGGAAACTT